CACACGTTAAACGACGGTAGTTCGTCACAGCAAGTTCACTTTAAACCGTGGCACGTATGTGGCGTTGAAATCACCGCAGAGGAGGTAAATCCCCACTCGAGTAATCTCAGAAAGGGTTTGTTTTGGACTACAACTCCCGTGAGCCCTCGCTTTGTTTGTAAAGCTCGAGGAGGCAGACGTTTGTGAATGACGGCCGCTCTCGTCCAATTCCCAGGCGCGCTGTGTCACTATCTTGCCAAATATGGTAATCAAATCCACCATCGCCAATTACATCGCTCGGAGTTAAATTAGGGACAGCCGACAGTCATGGGTGCATATTCAGGAGCGTCGTGTCTGCTCTGCGCACTTCTTCATAAACCACTTCCTACTCAGTGTGTGTGTATATCTCATCAGTGCTGCAGTTTATCTGCACACTGGACTGCGGCGGTACTGCACCCCCACTTCTCCTTTGTTGTGATAACAGAGCGAGCGTGGCGTTTTTTTATCTACGGGTTGCTGGGCAAAACGTAGGCTTGCTCAAGGACACTATAGCAGGTCACACTTTAGCTCAAACAGGGCTGATAAAGAAGAGGAGTGGTACTTTTAAGCATCCAGTTGGCCATGAAGATGCATATTAACAACTCCATTAGCCTGCAAGTGTAAATTAGTGAAACTAATGAGCATATAATAAATAATCATTAGACAAAATAGGGACATTTATTATTTTGAATGGCAAGTCAGCAGCCTATATGATAAAAAAAAGACCTGCGAGACAATGAATGAATACAATACAATGGAGTTACACTGGATTTATGTAATTCCTCAAATACTCCCTATTAGCTTATTACATCTGAGGACTAATGTACCATTCCAAGCCAAACAATAAATCCCCTGCTTTTATATTCACAAGTAGGCTCCTGATGTGGAAGGACTTGGGTCGGGAAAGGAAATATCTAAAGCAGCAGTTTTAGTGCAGGCTGTGTGTAAAACGAGCCCTTTGATATCAACACACAGCGCTCGGAATTGTGGGTAACTGTAAACTGTAAACATTCTTTTATCAATGGCATTTTTATAGCTGTGTGTGTGTG